CCCCCTTTTCCTCCACGTCCTCCTCCTCCTCCTCCTCCTCCTCCTCCTCCTCCTCTCCTCCTCCTCCTATCGTGGCCGCGGTCGTCCGAGCCTCGGGCAGGCCATCGGGGGGCCGCCGGGAGCCAGGGCGCGGGCCCGCCCGCCCCCTGCGGGGGAGCGCGCCAGGCGCGCCGCCGCCGTGGCCCGCGGCGGGAGTCGGCGGCGGGCCAGGGTCGGGGAAATGAGATGCTCGAACCTCGAGGTTCGAACACCCGGCGTTTTCGCAGTTTCGTGGCGGTCGTCTGCCCTCGGGATGCGTGCCAGCGGCCGCGCCTCGCCGAGGGTGTTCCGGGGGCGCCAGGATCGTCCCAAACGGCCGCCGGAAACCCGCGTTATGGTCCAGAAACCAAACTCGGCGGCGAGCGAGGGGGGAAGTGAGAAGGATAAGGCCTTCTCAGGAGGCGGCGGGACTTCTCAAAAGCCCTCGCGCCTTCCGAGAAGTTGTTCCGTCTTCGGGGAAGGCTTAGGAAACTTCTCCGAGAGGCCGAGGGGCTACCGAACCTTCTGAGAAGGCCTTGTCCTTCTCCGCCGAACAATAGGAGCTCGACTAGAACCGTCACACTTCCCATCGCAAAACCATCGGAACCAACGAAGCCCAGGGTACCCTAGAGGCAAGCAGGGTGCTTCTTGGCATGGGCTTCCACTGTAGGAGCAGAGGTCGGGTTAGAGGAACATCGCGCCAGACGGCCCCCTGGGGGCAGGAAGTGTGAGCATCCAGATGGGCTCGCTCCCCAACCCCACCTGGAACCCGCCAAGCTGCGCCTCGTCCTCGTCCTCCCTGGCCTACTACTGTCGCCTCATCAAGGACGTGCAGGCAGCGCGCCGCTCTGGCGTCTAGAGGAAGAACACGCCGCGTAAACAGAACTCTTGGCGCTCCGCGTGGACCTCTTGGATCTGCGCTGGACCCCCCTTCCAGGCGCGCGGAGCCCGCCAGGGGCCGCGCTGGAGGCGCCGCTGGGGGGGCCCAGGCGGGCGGACGCGTGAAGCAGTCGCCAAAAGGGTAGTCCGGGGCACGGGCCAGCCTAATGAAACTACCGAGCCAAGCGCAAGACGGCCGGGCCAGCACTCAGAAGCGGCTGCCGGGGGGCTGCAGCTGGAGGGAGCAGGTGGGGAAGTCTGTAGACGCCCAGGGTAGAAAGGGCACCTCACAAGCCGGAGGCAGAACGACGCCAACGTCGGAAATAAGCCCGGCACGCCAGGCCAAGAAATCCACGCGGAGCGTCGAAAGTTTATGTTCATATCCTTTGTTCTTCTTCGGGCGTCGGCTGGGGGCCCCGCAGTCCTTGTGCGGGCTCCGCTTCGGAATCGGCAGCCCCGAGAGCCCCTTTCGAGACCACCAGGGAGACGGGGAGGCGGACGACCGATAGCTTTAGGTCGGGCGTGTCCTCCTACAGGCGGAGTTTGGAAGGAAATTCGAGAATAGTCAACACATATTCAAAACATCCAGCAAACACGAGAACTAGTATCCACACTATTCGTTTGACTATTCTTTGATATTCACCATGTGGAAAGATTGGCCCGACTTCACGATTGCTCGCTGCGCATCTACATTGATGTGGTTCAAGCGTCTCAGGTGGGCACGGGTCTACGCACTGCAGGCCTTCAGCCCGCTCTGGAATTGGCGGCCTCTTACTGGTAATTAACCTTATCTTCGGGCTGCTTTCGATGGCTCAGACGCCCAACGCCCGGAGCGGGGCGAAGACCCCTCGCCGCAAGGGCGCGGCCGCCGCGGCGTGGGCGGCGCTCGTGGAGCCGAGTGGGGAGTCCGAGGCGGGCTGGGACTTCGCGCCGAGCGGGGGGCCGCCTCGCCGGCGCGCCCGCCGGCCTCCCCGAGGCAGGCGCCGCAGGCAGCGACCGCCAGCCACGAGTGGGCTGGGGATGGGCCGGCCCCGAGCATGGCCGCCAGCTGCCCCTGTGGCACGAGCAGCCGCGGCGGCCCGTCCTCCCGCCGCGGCCACCGAGGCCGAAGCTCTTCGGGGCGGGCAAGGCTGCCGAGCTCCCTGAGGGGAAGCTCGGCGTGAGTCTGGCAGCGGCTGCTATGGCTGCCGTCTGGAGGCCTGCTGGTCGAGTGCTCCTAGGCAGGGTGCTCCTCCACCTCCTGCCGTCGACGCCCTTCCCCAACACCGCGAGGAGCCTAGTCGCGATGACGGACGTGACCCAGGAGGTGGGCTCGGCTGCAGGCAAACTTGTGACGGCAGGGGCTAACGCTAGCACTAGCGCCGCCAAGTCTGCGTCGGCAGTGACCGACGGCTCCGTCGGGATGATCGAAGCGGCGTGGCGGGGGGAGAGGATCTACTGGACGCCAACATCGTGGGCAGCTCAGGCTGGGGGTTCGTCGAGGGCGAGGACAGCTGGCGACTTCCTCGACGAGCCAGATGTGCAGCACACGATGGGTCTGGAGCAGGAAGCTTTGACTGAGCTCGGGCGCTTGCTGTCTCTCTTTTCGCCCAGCCGCCCTCGAGGCGAGTTCCAAGGGCTCCCAACTTCGCGCTTCGCGCTGCGCGAAGCGCGAAGTGCGAAAAACTTCGCGTTCTCGCGCCGCCTCCCAGGGGAGAAGAGGAGGATGAGGAGGAATCGGAGCCGAACCACGAAGCGCGAATAACTTCGCGCCCTCGTGGGAGCCTTTGAGTTCACACATCACCGTTCTCTTTCAGCACAACTTCACTAACTTGTGAGCTACTTTGGGCCCGCTGGCTTCCCGGCGGCCGCGCCGGGATCGCCTGGGGGTGGTCGCGGTGACCTTCCGCCCTGAGTGGGCGAGCCCTCCTTGGGAGGTCCTCGGCGCACACGAGTCCGCCGAGGCCTCTGGCTAGGGGGCCACATGCGAACCCCACCCCTACCCCCCAACGATACCTGAGGGGGGGGGTTCACTTCGCTCGGGAGCTCTCGAGCGAAGTGAACCCCACCCTCCCCCTCAGAAATCGTGGGGGGGTAGGGGTAGGGCTCGCACGTGGCCCTCGAGCCGAGGCCTCTTTGAGTAGGGACCGACCGTCCCGGCATTCATATAGTCATACCACGAAATTTCCTTAGAACCCCAAAATGTTCTAAGAACAAAAACAATGCTCTTAGATAAAAAACCCGATGTGCTAAAACATGACAGACTCCGCCAGAAATGTTCTAAGAACATCTCGTGGGAACCACAAACGGTTCTTAGAACGTTGTTTGGTGGGGCCACAGGCGAGCCGGGACGCTTCGCCACTGCCTGAGGCCTCTGGCATGACCGCTCGCCTTCGGCAGCTGGCCCCCGTGACGCTCCGGGAGCCCGGCCTCGGCCTCGGCCCCGAGGCGCTCCGCGGCCCGCCGCCCCCTCCCCTCGGGCGCCTCTCGGAGGCCCACCGCCGCGAGGGGACACTTCCCCCCCCCCCCCCAGGGCGCCAGACTGCGGCCGGCTGCCGTCCGAGGGCCTCGGACGGGGCCTCGACGGCCTCGACGCCCTCGACCGAGACCCTCAGCAGCAGCACTCCGCTCGTTCCCCGATCTGCCCCTCCATTTTTCGCTTCCCCCTCGCCCCGCCCCCTGTCGTTTTGAGCAGCATTCCTAGATTCCTACCACGAAATGGTCTTAGAACCCCAAAAATGTTCGAAGAACAAAACCAATGTACTTAGAGCATAAACCCGATATGTGTTAAAACAAAACAATCTCCGCCAGAACTGTTCTAAGAACATGTCGTGGAAACCACAAAAGGTTCTTAGAACATTGTTTGGTGGGGCTATAGGCGAGCCTGGACGCTTCGCCACTGCTTGGTCGTTGCGTGCGGCCTTCGGCCCGGGCCACAGCTCGGACCTCCGGCGGCCGTTCGGGATGCTTGGCATCGCTCGCGCGTGTGCATTTTGTTTTCCCGGCGGGAGCCATCCTCGCGGCGCACCAGGCTGTGGGCGGTGCGTGTTCCCAGGAACCTCCCATCACTCTCTGCCCCGACTTGGCGTGGCGCAGCCTCCTTGGACCGCGGAGCGAACGCGGGCGACAGCGCAGCGGGGGCAGTGGGGGCAGCTCCTGCTGCCAGTCTGATCGTGAGGCCGCTTGAGGGTGCGGGTGGTGGCGAGTGTACTGTAGCTTTGACCATCCAGCATTCGCACCAGTCAAAGTCCTGATTGCAAGCGTATTCAAGTTGAGCTATTTTTCTTTTGACCCCGCGTGCATGACGCGAGGGGCAGGCGCATTTACTTACACCTGCATCAGAAGTGCTGAGGAGACACCAGGGCTGGCAGGAAAACAGGAATTGCCATCTCTTCCCCCTCAGTCCAGTCAGCGTGGCCCCCACCTTCGTGCTGAAATGGTGTAATGAGCTCGTGAATGGCAGTTTTCGGAGACCACGGTAGGGCAGCAGGGTGGGAGCATGATCTGTGTTGGCGCACATGCCTGCTCAAGCACGCCGCTCCCGTGGCTTTCGGCTATCGACATTTGAATCCCCTCTCTCTCGCCTCGCCTCCGTCACGTACTTGAGCTGTGATCATCCAGCATTCGCACCCGTCCAAGTCCGGATTGCAAGCATACTTGGGTTGAACTCTTTTTCTTTTGATCTCCTCGCGCACAGGACGCGAGGGGAAGGAGCACATGTACGGAGCTGGCAGGGAAAGTGGAGCTGCCATCTCTGCCATCTCAGCCTGGCCGGGGTGGGCCCCAATTCCCTCCCTCGCCCTCCTCCCCCCTCCTCCTCTCCTCCTCCCCTCCTCGCCCTCCTGCCCCCTCCCCTCCTCCCCCTTCCCTCCCCCCTGTGCCTGGCTGGGACCGGACCGGCGGATCAGCGTCAGGCTCTCGACCGCGGGGCCCCGCGCAAGCCCGGAGCCGGCGTGGCACGCCACGGCTGATGGCTGGCTGCGGCAGGAGGCGAGGGGAAAGGCGAAGGGGGGGTGGAAGACGAGCTCGAAGAAGGAGGGAAGAGGTGCCGAAGCAACGGGGTCTCGAAAACCCTCCGACTGGTTCTTCATCCCCTTCCTTTGACGGCCACGCGGGGGGGCCCTGGGATCCGCTTCTCTCGGGAACCCCTGCTCGTTCCCTTCCTGGCGAAGCACGGGAGGAGGACAATCTTGGCACGCTCGAAATGGGGACAGACAAAATGGGGACGACGTCCAAAACTGACAGCAGCCGCGATGGGGCAGGCGGCAGCAAGCGCCCGCAGAGACACCGACAGCGAATCGTGTTCAAAGCTGACTGGAGAACCTGCTGGCCTTGGTCACCACCCGTTCCGTCTCCATGTCGGTCCTCTGGGCGCAGCCAAAGGTGGGAGGCTCGTGCCGGGAACCTCCCTGGAGCCTCTCGCCCCACTCGCGCGTCGATGCTGCGTCGTGAGCCCGTCGATCTGGGTCGACCTTGGGTCGAACCCGAGTCAAACTTCAGCCGAGCCCGAGTCGAAGTTCGGGAGCGGCCAAGAGGGGGGTGTTCAAGAGGGGGGGTGTAAATCATGACCGGCGGCATGTGCGCGGCCCAGCGGGGGGGCCAGAACGTAATGAAATAAGAAGAGGCGCCATGAAATCTGGGGAAAAATCATGGCCCGCGCCATGAAATCCCCCCCCCCCTAGTCATCACCCCCCTCGTTTCCGCTCCCGAGAAGCGGAGTCGACCGCACCCATCAGGTGGGCCCCGGGGAGGCCCCCCCGACGCGCGCCCGAAGCAGGGGGGGCACGCGAGAGGGCGAGCAGGCGGCCGCCCCGCCGCCGCGCGCGCCCGCCCCAAAAACCGGGGCCGGGTCCTACTTGCGCGGTGGGCGTGCGCGCGGGCGCGGCTCTACTCGAACTTCTTCGACCTGCGGGCGCGGGGCGGGGCCGGGCCCGACGCGTGAAGGCCCGCAAGTCTCGGTGCGTGCTTTAGGGCTCCCAACTTCGCGCTTCGCGCTCCGCGAAGCGCGAATAACTTCGCGCTCTCGCGCCGCCCCCCCAGAGGGAGAATAGGAGGACGAGGAGGAGGGGGAGAAGGAACGAGGACCGCGAAGCGCGAAGCGCGAATAACTTCGCGCCCTCGAGGGAGCCCTTGTTAAAAGCGGGTCGAGTGGGTCGGCACATCATAGGCCCAAGTTGGGGAGGCCCCAAAACATGAGGGATAGAGCTATGATGTTCCAACCTGCTTCAGCCTTGACCACCCGAAACAAAAATCGAGCACCAGCAAACATGCCGAAGCTCCAGGGTTTTCACGTGTTGGGCCCTGGGAGACACTCGTCCGACACCGTTTCGACACTCTTTCGGCACTTTTCCGGGTGCTCGAAATTATTTCTGGGATGTAGTCCTTAAGTACGATGGGAACAACATAAGGATAGAGGGGGTATTTCAGCATATGTATCGGACAAAGCCGCCCAGAATGTTTGTCCCTGGTACGAAGACGGGGGCCTCAGAGAGGCCACGTCTTCATCGTGCTATTAGGGTTGGGTCGGGCACGTCCTCCTACGGGCGGACTTTGCCAGACACATCCGAAGCAGTCCAAAAAACACAAGTCAACCAGTGTTCAAAAAGCAACAAAAACGTACTCAAACAATCGTCCCCGAGGAATTGCTTTGAACTCTTTTTGAATATCCCCTCCTGTAGAGAGACACGCCCGACACACTATCATTATGTCGGGCGTGTCCCCCTACAGGGAATTTTCGACGAAAAATAAAAATACCCCAAACATGCACCAGAAAGGGAAACAAATACTCAAAAAACATCCCCCAACTGTTGCTGGATTATTTTTGGATTATTTTGGAGTATTTTCTAATGTTTCGTCGAATATCCCCCTGTAGAAGACCACGCCCGACACACTATCAAGCCAAAGCTTTCCTTCTGCGCCCCAAGGCCCCCGAGAAGGCCACGCGCCCGCGCGCCTCCGAGGCGGCCGCCGCGCCCGGAGGCAGCAAACCACGGCGTCGGCTGCCTGGCGAGGCCCTGCCTCCGCGCCCGAACGCCCCCCTCCGTCTTAAGTCGGGCGCGTCCTCCTACACGCGGATTTTCCATGAACAATTTTCTAGACAAATAAAGAGCAGGATCAACATATGCTCAAAGATAATGAAAATCGTCCCCTGACTGTTTTTTTTGTTGTGACTATTTTGGGGTACGGGAAACATGGGTACAATGCCCAACAACAAGTGTTGTCCCAAACCAGCAGCGGCCGCTGTTGGGCGGGCGGCCTTCTGTCTCGAATGGACACAGGCCGCGGATGCGCGGACAACGAGTCCTGTTCAAAATGAACAGGAATTGCTGTTGGGCATCGCACCCAGTCTTTCCGTGCCCATTTCGTTCCTGCCGACCTCAGGTCGGGCGCGTCCTCCTACAAGCGGATTTCTGATAATACATAAAGAATAATCAGAAAATGAGCAACAGATGCTTGTGCCCGCCTTAATCCTTGCCCCCCCGCGCGGCCGCCCTCGTCTCCCTCTCGTGCTCTTGCGCGCCGGACAATTTTTGCCTATCGGTGCCCGCGATTATCGGGGGCGCGCAAACACGGATTAGCGATCCATGGATCCGGCGCGCGGTCGCCGAATCCATGGGTCGGGGGCGGTGCCCTCCCCGAAGTGCGGCCGGTGCCGCCTCGCTCGGCGGCGGGAATCCGCGATTTCCCATGGAAGCGGGACCCGACGCCAAACCACGCCCCCGTTGATGCATGCTTGCGATCGCCTGAGCTCAGCCCGACGCTGGCGCGGATCGCCTCCGCCTCGCCGCCGACGGTCAAGGAGCCTGGGGAGGCCAGCCGTGCGCCTGCACCCATCCCTGGCCAGGCGACCTGGTCAGGATCGGTGTGGGCGCCAGCCGGCGCTCCCCGAGCCGCAGTCCACGGCGTGGGCGGTCCGATCTGCCTTTTCCCTGCGGCGCAACCAGGCCGCGGAGCAGGCGATGCCCCAACGCCCCGGCCACGTGACTGCACTTTGGATTATTCTCCCCACCTCCTTCCTCCTCCTCTTCACACACAGACACCCACAGCGAAACCAGAGATCCGAGCGGCCGCCGCCTAGAAGAGTCACATGACTCTTATAAACCGCCAAGCTCAAGGAACCTGAAGGGGGGAGGGGGGGAATAAAGAGAGAAGAGAGAGAGAGAGAGAGAGAGAGAGAAAGAGAGAGAGAGAGAGAGAAAGAGAGAGAGAGCAACAACAAAAAACAGAGCAGAGAGACGGTGCCTCCCCCCTCCTCACCCACCGTCCTCCTCCTTCTCCTGTTCCTCGTCCTCTGCCTCATCTTCCAATCCGCCTCCTCTTCTTTCTTCCCATCCGTCCCTCTCATCCGTCTCATCCTCGTCTTCGTTTTCCTCCTCTTCCTCCTCCTCCGCCAAGTTCGTCCGCTTCGCTCGTCTTTCTCCGCCGTCATCCCTCAATCGTCGTCTTTTTTCCGCCGTTATCACTCAATCGCCCTCATCTTTCCATCTACCGCTCCTACCCTTGGTCCTGCCTCTCATCATTTGCTCCTCCTGCTGCTGCTGTTCCAACGCCTGTCCTCGTCCTCGTCGTCACCTTCGCCGTCATCGCCGTCTTCCCGTTGCAGGCGAGATTGGGCACATGTCGTACTCAGCAAGACTCCGTCATCAATCGAACTGCGGCGAAGAATGGGGGGGGCGAAAATCTCCCTTGTCACCCCCTGGGCGAGGCCTGAGAAAACCAATTCCCGGTATCATTGACGGGGCGAATCCAGAGGTCACCCCTGTCACGCTGTTCCGCGCGCAGCAGGACGGGGCCCCATGTGCTACATCTAAACCGAGGCCAGGTGACGCAGATCTCTAGAACAAAAAACAACTGCATAAACATAAACCTTTGGCGATCCGCGCGGATTTGTCTGGGATCCAAGACATCCGCGCGGAGCGCTGACATTTTATTGTTGTATGTCGCCTTCTTCTTCGAACCTCTCTGTCATGACCGAGCGAGGTCGGAGCTTGATCACAGACTAGCCATAACTGGGGGAGCTGTGGTCCTTACCCCTCCCTTGGGGGAACCCATCGCGTCGACGATCTCTCGAGAGGGGTGTCGAAATCGATGGGTCCCCCAGTGGGGTAAGGACCACAGCTCCCCCAGTTGCGGCTGGCCTGTGATCAGGTCCTCCCTGGACGAAGCCGGATCAAATCCTCTCCGTCGCTCCCTACCCGGGCGGCAGCGTCGGAGCGGAGCCCTCTCTGCGTCGCAGCTGCTCGCGCGGAGGGCGGCGGTGGGCACCCCCGTCGGCCCCGTCCCGGCGGAGTCGCCGCAGACCGCCCCACCCCCAGAAAAAAAAAACGCTCACGACCGGGCAAGGGGACGCGGAGAGCCTGCGTGCATTTATGTGCACATGTCTACATGTGCACGTATGTATGCACGCATGTATGTATACATGCATGCATGCATGGATGGATGGATGTATCTACGTACGTGGGCACGTCTGTAGGTATGTATGGATGCGTGCATGTATGGAAATATGAATGTAAGCATGTTCGTCCGTGCGTCCGTGCGTGCGTGCATGCGTGCGTATGAACGTATACATGTCTGCATGTATGCATGAATGTGTGTAGGCAGGTATGCGTGATTCTATGTCTACGTGTATGCATGTATGAATGCACGCACGTATGCACGTTTATATACATGCATGTCTGTCTGGCTGTCTGTATGCATGTGTGCCTGCTCGTATGCATGTATGTGTATGTATGTGTGTATGTATGTCTATGTGTATGTATGTGTGTATGTATGATGGTATGCCTGCATGCATGCATGTATGTATGGATGGATGGATGTATGAATGCGTGTGTTTGTATGTACGTACGTAGGTATGCATACATGACGTGTGAAAGGGTGCATGCATGCGTGCATGCATGTGTACATGTATGTATGTTTGTCAGTCTGTATGTGTGTATGTGTGTATGTATCGATGCATGCATAGATGAGTGTCTATGGTTGTACGTGTGGATGTATGTATGGCTGTATCTATACGACCACCCTTCGGGTGATAAGGAGGTTCGGGGGGGGGGGAAGAACCAACGTCTCACTCGATCGGTATCACTATCGATCTCACTATCGGTCTCACTATCGGTCTCGCTCGATCGATCTCACTCGATCGATCTCACAATCGATCTCACTCGATCCATTTCATTCGATCGATCCCACAATCGATCTGACTATCGATCTCACAATCGATCCCGCTATCGATCACACTGTCGATCCCACGATCTATCTCACATTCGGTCTCACAATCGATCTCACTATCGATATCACAATCGATCTCACAATCAACGCCATCATCATCATCTCATCATCATCATCAACAACATCATCAACATCATCATCATCATCATCATCAGCATCATCATCATCGGGACACCATCATCCTCATCATCAGTATCAACAACATCATCATCAACATCAGCATCATCGGGACATCATCATCAACATCATCAGCATCGGAACGCCACCATCATCATCATTTCATAGTCATCATGAACAACATCATCAACATCATCATCATCATCGGGACACCATCATCATCAACAGCAACATCATCATCAACATCATCATCGTCATCGGGACATCATCGTCATCGCCACTATCATCGTCATGACCATCATCATCATCGGGACACCATCGTCATCATCAACAACATCATCATCATCAGCATCGGGCCACCATCATCAAAACAATCATCATCACCTCATCATCATTCTCATCATCATCACCATCATCGCGACACCACCATCGTCATCATCATCATCATCATCAACAACATCATCATCATCGGGACATCATCATCATCATCATCATCATCATCACCATCATCATCATCATCATCATCAACAGCATCATCAGCAACCTGATCATTATCATCATCGT